ATTATGACTGGGCTTATTCTCTATTTTTGATTTGCAGACCTGCAATAAATCCCTTTCGTCTCATTTCTTGGGCAGGGTCTCCATCTGCCATATTTCCTCCCACCCCTATATCCAAATTAAACAAGCTATGCTCTGGATGAGCTTGGGTCCCCACCAGGCCACCATGAGGACGAGCAAAGCCATCATGTGGGGCACAGAGCTGGCCAAAGACAGAGCCCTGAGCTCACATGCTGGCTCCAGGGTGGGCAGAGCCTGCCCACGAGGTCTGGGGCTGGGGGGGGACAAGGTTCCCAGTCGGCAGAGCAAACTTTTCCCAGTTGTGCCTCAAGGTCTTTCCTAGACAAAATAGTGCTCATGCGATGCAGAATCATGGCAGGTGTGAGGTCACTGCAGGACACCCAGGGCTCATCCGTGTTCATCCTCCAGCCTGTGCCTAACAATTACAGCACTTCTTTAACAAGCCAGGTACCAACTTCTAGAAATCTTCATATAATCATGCAGGAGATTCAAAAAAAGAAAAATCAGTGGCTTATTTTATTTCTCAAAAAGCAAATCTGTTAAAAGATCAAACAAATAGACTCTATAACTACTGTAATCGTGACTTTAAGCTCTTTTTTGACTAAAAATTTAAAAAAGGATACACTCCAGCTATTAAGTATCTATTACTTGGTTTGGTTCCATGTGATGAACCAAGTCTGTCTGAGGACAAAACTGTTGCCAGCCCCCACCCTGCAGCGGTTTTGGGTGAGAGGTCCGATTCACCAGCAGTGCCAGTGCCAGGGACAGGCAGCACGGGGCTGGCACAGGAGGGGCAGGGAATCAATCTGTGCTGGGATTTCACCTCCCACCAATGTATCCTGGGGGGAAACACCATGCCAGCTCGCCCTAAACAGCCTGTTTGCCCGGGTCAGGTTGGGCATCGCTCCCCCAGAGCCTCCCTGGCCAGTGAAGGTGAGAGCTGCGGGCACCAGGGCAGCTGTGGAGGGTTCTCACCTCCAGCCTGGTGACAAGGAGACACAGCGCTCAGGAAGGAGCAGGATCGGTCCCTGCCTTTTTGTACAATGCAACAGCTCCCCCATCTTACAGACTAAAGAACTTAAAATGGAAAAACATTTCCAGGAAATGAGAACGGGGGTAACTCCGCACACTTCCCCACTTCTGGAGGGAGAGGCTGGCGTGCACTGGCTTCTGAAGCGCCCCTGTCTCCCTGGTGCTCTGGGGAAGGGGAATCCACTACATGCAGGGTGACACGACATTTGGGTGGACAGGGCAGTGAATTTTCTTCCTGTATGGACGAATAAACACTGCTGGTTCTAAACACTTTTCGGTGAGGTACCACAGTCTCTCTTAAGGAGCACCAAGTACCACCCCTCGCCGTGGTTTCTGCAGGGCTGTCGGAACCCGCAGCCCGGGCGCTGCTCCCCTGCACTGCTGCCCGTCTCCTTTAGGGTGTACACGCAGCACGCGCTACCAGCGCTCGGCGCCTGGAGAGGAAGGGCTCCTGTGCCCACGGAAAGCTGCGTGCTCGGCGTGCAGTGACGTTATGCCTGAACGCTCCCTGCTCCGGTGCCGGCACAGCCATCACCACCGCAGACATGGGGCATCCCACCCTTCCTGCCCACTGGAGTGCCCAGCTCTGCTGGCCCAGCGGTCTGGCAGTGACTCCCGGGAATGCTGCCGGCTCCCAGCACAGCTCTAAGGATGGCTCTGGTCCATGCTGGGGCTGGGGAGGAGGTCTGAAGGGACGAGGGACAGGCAGCCCTGTGACAACGTGGGTTGGGTGCTGTTGGCAGAAGGCTGGGTGAGCACGGCACCCCGTCACTAGCCCGCTGCAGGGCAATGGCACTGTGCCCAGGCCCCAGGTCCCTCCCTGATGCGTGACTAAGGGTTAGAAAGTGCATAAAAGCGGCTCTGTGTGTTATTTGAATAAAGCACTTTCCTCAAGAAGCTCTCCTTATTTCAGCCAAAAAAAGAAATGATGAAATTTTAAAATGATACCTGAGGAGAAAGATTTCAGGTTAAGGAGTTACTGGCTCTATCAGGAAAAAAGCATTTTAACACTGCTTGGAGGCAAGAGCAAGACAAAACCCCCGCACAGGCTTGTTTAGAAGGGTAATGGGGGAAGAGCTGAGCCCCAGTAGTAGGGAGGGTCCTCGAGGCAGGGTGAGTCCTGGCCAGAGCTAGGGGGGAGTTCACCTAAGTAAATCCCCAGTGCTGGGGCCATGCAGGACAGTGCCATCCGTGGGGTACACTGCCAGGCACCAGGGATAATGCTGCCAGGACGCAGACCTGCCCCTTCCCAGGGCACTGAAGTTTGCCCCAAAACAGCCCAACCCTGGGCGTTGAAGGGAGCGTTCAGGCACAGGCACCCCCCCCACACTGTCACTTAGGTCTGGGTCCAGGATCAGAGAGGCCAGGTCTCCATCCCAGCCATGAGGGAGCGAACCTCCCCAGCACACCCACAGCTCCCACACTCCCAGACACGCCAGGGACCAACAGTTTTCCCACTGGGTACATTAACAAGGCCGTGGTGTCGTCTCAGTCTCAAGAGGGATTTCAGGCTGGCAGAGAAGCAGCAGCAGCCTTTGCCCAAAGCCCTGAAGCCAGAGAGCACAGGAGGTTGCTGTAGCTGTGAGGACACGGAGCTCCTGTGCTCTGCTGTCCTGGTACCAGTTCAGAGTGGTCCTGAACCAGCCCTCATGGTATGTTTGTGCTGGGTGGTACAAACCAGCGCACTCTCCAGTACACTCCAGGCTCTGAGCACAAGCTTCCACCGAGTTCCCACTGAGTTTCTCCATGTCCCTGTGCCTTCTGCAACTGGACGTGCCTGTCTCGTATTGGCCTTTTTAGCCACCAGCGTGCTTATAACAAACGTGGGTAGAGCCCTCCCCAAATCTTCGTTCGCGAAGCCCAGCCATGATGATGATGATGATGATGATGATGATGATGATAGCCAGGGAAGCCGTACCAGAGACTTGTCTCCCCTCCCAGTGCCAGCTGCACCACTGGCATCACTGGCACATCAGCCCCCTTGCTGCTGGAGCAGCAGAGAACTGACAGAGCAGCAAATGCTTGAAAGTGAAGCCTGAGACACTGGTGGACACCAGCCAAGACCATAGGCATTTTACCAGGGAGCATCTTCCCTGCTCTCTCCAGAGGGGAGCACACTGTGAATGCTGAATGAGGGCTGAGCACGATGCTCTCCAGCTCCAAAGAAGACCTACGCTAGGACTGTGGGCAGAGGGACAGCAGAGCCCACCCCAGCAAAACCAGCTGACGTGAGTTTTCCCTCGAGGGAGCAGAAGAATTAGACTCATTCCCTCCTACCAGCCTGTCTGTCCCCATAACAGCTTGAACCAGCTCCATGAAACAGCTGCTGGGACTAGAAGATAAGCCCTAACTCACAGGCCCAGCCCACCTGCCTGGCTCTGTGCGGCTTCTGAGGCTGCCAGAAGGGCAGAGGATGCTGCGGCTCTGGGAGCTGCATTCCTCCTGAGACCAGGGGCAGAGGCTGCTGTGGAGACCAACGAAACAAAATCTCTTTCCACTTCAATGTTCTCAGGTCGCAGGGACAGCCCCGAGCTCGGGAGCACCGACGTGTTCCCTCTTCTCACTCGTACCGACACCAGACGCTGCATCCCAAGGCACAAAAAACTTTGGCACAGTGTCAGCAGAGAGGTGTGAGGACTCCCACTGCATCTTCACTTTTCTGGGACAGGGCTCCCCCCACGTGCATCCCCAGCGAGATGCCGGTGTGTCCCAGCAGCATCGCTCCCGCTGCCTCCGAGCACGCGGAGTTCCCTCAGCGGCGGCGGCCCCGCGGGCTGGTCCGGCTGCAGACAGTCCCGGGGCAGCCCCGGAGGAGCGGGCAGCTGCCTCCGGTCCCGGCGGGAGGGTGTCGGAGGAAACGGGGCCGTTGCCAAGCGGCCGCAGGGCACGTGCCTGCACATCCCTCCAGGTGCAGGGTCACTGGCCGCTGACGAGGTTCGTTAATTAGCTCCTCTGCCAGGCTCTCCAGGCAGCGCTTCTCTGCTTCGGGTCCTGCAACATCCCCGGCATTTTCCCACAAAAGAGCATTAGAAAAGGATGTCAGTATTCCGTAGCACGAAATGCACTCTCTTCCCCGTTAGAGATCCAGGAGACAGGTAACGACCCCGAAATCCCTCAAAGCTCTCCGCTTTACTGCCCCCAAAGGTGACCCAGCCTTTCTGTCTCCTGGCAGGATCATCACTCCTGCAACTCCGGTGCTGCAGACCCTGTCCCCGGACCGGGCAGGGTGCGGGCAGGGTGCGGGGCAGCTGCGCGCCCCGGGGGTGGGCAGGAGCCCTCGCCATGCGGGGCAGCGCGGAGCGAAGCCGCCGCCGCGCTCGTACCCCGCGCTCCCGCTCCGCGGGACGATTCCGCCGGTGCGTCTGTCGGATCCACCATCAGGTCAAACCCCGGCGCACGCCCCGCGCCGGCCCCGCCCGCCGCCCGCTCCTGTCCCGGGGCCCCGGGCGGAGGCTAGGGGGGCTTGGGGGTGCCCGAGGGCCGCGGCCGCTCTCGGTCCCCGTCGCTGTAGCCTGGCCCCGGCGCGGCGGGCCAGGCGGAGGCGTGTCCGTGCCGGTGTCCGTGTCCCTGCCGGTGCCCGGTGCCCGGTGCCGGTCCCGCCCGGCGGCGCGCAGCCCGGAGCCCGGCGCGGCGGGGGGCGGCCCGGCCGCACGTCTGCGCGGCTGCGGCCGGGCGGCTGTGGCTCAGCCGTGCGTGCGGCGGGGCGGGGAGGGCCCGGCTGCTCCAGCCCGCCCCGGCGCGGCGCGGCGCGGGGGAGGCGGCGGCTGCTCCATGCGGCAGCGAGCGGCGCGGCTGCCCGCGGCCGGGGCCGGGGCCGGGCGGAGGCCGGCGGCGCGGAGGATGGGCGCAGCAGCCGCCGCCGCGGAGGGCCGAGCCGCGGGCGCCGCGCTCCCCGCCCTGCCCCGCCGCCGCGGCTGCTCCGCCTGAGCGCGCCCGGCGCGGAGCGGCGCGGAGCCGCATGGCCCTGCCGCCGGCCGCCCCGCGCTAGCGGCACCCGCACCCGGGAGGCGCCGGCCCGGCGGCGGGGCTGCCCGCTCCCCGGCCACGTCCGTCCATCTCTCCGTCCGTCCGTCCGTCCAGCGCAGCGCCCGGCGCGCAGGATCCCGCAGCGGGGCGCGGACCGGCAGCGCTTGGCGAGGATTAACCTGGCGCAGGTACACGGCAAGGTCAGCACCGGCGGGCGCGGAGCGGGGCGGGCCGCCCGGTGCGGGGCCATGCGGGGCGATGCGGGCGGGCTCGGCGGGCTGATGCGGACGGGCTGCCCCGCGCCCCCCGCCCCCGCCCGCGCGTGTGTGCGTGTGCCGCCGCCCGCCCGAGCCGCCGCGTGGGGCCGTCCCCGGGCCGCCCTGCCCGCCCCGGCCGCGGGCAGCCCCGCCGCGGAGCCGCGGTAGGATGCGGGTGGTGAGCGCCGGCTCGGGGCGGAGCGGCGGGCAGCCCGCCTGCCGCCAGCGCCCGCAGCCCGCCGGGGCCCGGCCGCGGCCGCACCCGCAGGGGACGCGCTCCGGCCGCCGCCCGTCCCCGGAGGCTCCAGGTAACGCGGGGGGGGAAGTCGCGCCCGGCACATCTGCATTGCACCGCGGTACCGGCCCGGGGGACGGGGCGGCGGGGGACGGGCCGGCGGGTCCCGAACGGCCCGGGCAGGTCGAGCCCGCGGCGCGGCGGGGGCGCCGGTACGGGGGCGTCGGCGGTGGGGGGACGCCACTCCCGGGAGGGCGGCGGCGTCGGCGGCGGGGAGCGCGGGGCGCGGAGCGGAGCGGCGGGGCGGGCACCCCGCGGACGGGCCGGGCCGCGCTGCCGCCGCTGCCCGCGGGACGGCGCCGGCGGCCGCCCGCGTTGGGCTGGGCTGGGCTGGGGATGCTGCGGGCCGGGGATGCTGCGGGGCCGCCCGTGCCGCGGCCGCCGCCCCCTCCGCACCGCGCTGCTGCCGCCGCCGCCGCCCGGTTACGCGGCACCGCTGGCGCTGCGGCGCTGCCCGAGCGGGCGGAGGCGCCTCTGTGCGCGGAACCATCCCGGGGCGCTCCCGCGGGGCCGGGGCCGCGGCTCAGGGGGTGAAGGGCTGTGTCGGAGGGAGCAGGAACCCCCCGGTTCCCCCTGCCCCGTCCCGGCGCCCCTGCCCGCCACACACACACCGCTCCCCCCGCTCCTCTCTCCTGGGGACCGCCGCGGTCCCCCGCGTCCCGGGATGCGGGTGCGCTCTCCTCCATCTCCTTCGCCCTCTCCGTGGCGAGCACCGCTGTCAGCGGGAGAGAGAATGTAGGACAGGATGGACCTTCCCCGCCGGAAGGTTCCCGTTGGGGAGATGGCAGAGCAGCGGTGGAGGAGCCGGCGGAGCCTCGCAGCCATGTTGATGTCGGAGCATCAGCCCTCCCGGCTCCAGGAGCGGATGCCGGAGCACACAGACTCCTGGAGCCCTGGAGCAGCTGGCGGCGAGCAGCGGGTGCGGGCACGGGCCGGTGTGAGATGGGCACGGGCATATCTGGGCCAGGAGGACTGGGGAAGCCCCTTTCCGGGCTGGTCTTTGCCAACATGATCTGGAGGACACCGGCTCTGCAGTTCCTCTGCATCCCGGGACAGCAGCGCTTCACCTCCTCCCTCCCTCCCTCCCTCCGTCTGTCCCGTCTCCGGGGCAGGGACCGTTTCTCATTACGCTGCATGTCTGGAGCAGAGGAAGGTGTTGGTCCCAGCTATGGTCATGAACACGGCTTCACCAGTCCTGGAGACCAGGGGTAGGACAGCAGGTGCCCCCAGCCAAGCCCAGCCCTGTGCAGCCTCCAGGTGACTGCCGTGGAGCCGGGAGTCCTGCCCTTGGCCATCGTGCTGTCGTGCTGGTGATCCTCCCCACCCACGCTTCCATTTCACATGTTCTGCGTGACACGTGGTGTCAGCTCGTGCATTCTGAGCATCCTCGGGCGAGCGCTGCGTGTCCAGGGCTGCTCAGGCCAGCGCAGCCAGGCAGTACGCTGGCGAGGCAAAATGGATCCGTCCCGGGATTTAGCCCATTTGGTTCCGGGTGCGCATCTGCAGGTGGAGGGCCCTGGGATGGCTCTGGCAGCACCGATCCTGGCCCTGATTGTGTCCAGGAGCGCGGGGCGGAGCCGCCTGTGCCGGGAGCGGTCTGTCCCCGTGTGGCGGGGCTGTGTCCCGGGACAGCCCGCTGCTGGACCCGTGTGCTCGGGGCTGCACGTGCTGCCCCAGGGACTCCGGCTGGGCACCCGCTCCTGTGTATGGGCCCCACATCGGAGCAGGCTCCGTGGTGCTGCCATAGTCGGTCCTGGCAGGGGGATGTGTGTGCCAGTGGGCTCTGGAGCCAGGCCTGGTGATTCTGCTGCTGATCTGGGAGCCAGGTTCGACTCTGCACAAGGAGCTGTACCAGAGCCTGAGTGTTCTTGGTGCCCAACACCTTCCCGATCCATGGTTCTATATATATACTGTACTCAAGGGATTATGCATTTGTTTAAATGCATAATAAATGTGTTTAAATGCGTAAGGCTGGATCAGAATGAACACCAGAGCTCGCCAGTTCGGCCTGCAGTCACAAGCCTCGCTAAGAAACGTCTCCTGGCATATTAGATCATCTTTCTGCTTTCAGAAAGAGCAGTTTCTGATTTTATCATGGCAGGGCAGTCAGTGGAAGCAAATCCTGGATATCTCAAGTGCCCAGTGCAAGTTCAAAGCTGAACTAGTTCACCAGTTCAACAAACACTTCCAGGTGCAGGAGAGGGCTCCAGGTTGTCCCATTCCACCAAACACCTTCAGCTGTGGGAGTGGGCTCCAGATTGTCCTGTCTCAGTGAGAGCTGGCAGGTTGAGTGCTCCTGTCGTCCTTGTGGCCAGGAGAAGCACCGGGCTCGGCTGCAGCAGTGCTCAGGATGCCATGCCAGGGGATTGGTTTGAATTTTTCATATGGCTCTTGTCTGGAGAGGCTCCCATTGGCAGCTGAAGGTGTGAGTGCTGATGGGGGGAGGAAGGCTGGCTGGTGGTGTGGGACAGAATGGTGGGAACTCAGAAGAGATGTGGCGGAGCAGCGTGTCAAGAAGAAACCAGATCTTCCCCAATTTTTTGAGAAAGATTAGAGACATGAAGGCGGGTGCACCATGAAGGATGGGCCTGGCACATGGGGTGCCTGTCTTGGGAAGATGGAGCACCCTGAGGTGCCTGGAGGGCTCGTTCTCCTCTGGGGCACGTGGAGGTGGTTCAGAGGCTGGAGAGCTAATGACTTTCCATCGCTGATCAATACTGCCTGTGCTTTCAGATGTGGTAACAGGCTGGGTTTTATAGAGCGATCTTTGCATATTCCCTGCGCGAGCAGCGAGGCCGGAGCGCCGCTCTAATGGCCTCGCTATTAGCGGGCTCAGAGCCTGAGCCAAACTGAAAAGGCTGTCTAAGTGCTGCTCAAGCGTTTTGGGCCAGGCACATTCTATGCATTAGGGAAGATTTGTACTCCTTGGGCCAGACATCACTGAGTGTTGTCTATTTATACGCATCTAAATATATCCTCTGCAGTCTTCAGACTTTTCTAGCTAGTAGTAAAATTACTTTTCAATATCACACTATTAAAATGTGCTTGCTGAGACTATATGATGAAGTTTGTGCTAAGAGTGGGCTTTGTGTGTGTGTGTGTTTTAAAAAAAACTATTCTTGAGGTAGTTACCTAAAATGCTTTGGAAACAAAAGCTTGTTGTTGTCCATGTAGCTGGGTAGCAGACAGAAATGTGGTTGAACAGAGGCACCACTGGAGACATATTCAAGCCTGGAAAGCCAAATCCAAACCTTATCCAAAGTATAATGTTTTGTTGCTGAAGAGTGAACCATTCTTTCTAGAAATATATGTCAAATAATCATGTACTTTGCAGCGAAATAGAAACATTTGCTTAGAATTAGTCAGATACACCTTCTGGTACCCTGGAGTTTGAGGTGTCATTTTGAAAACAAAATGACAAATCTTGAAGAAGTAACTTAGGTTATGGAATTCCTCTGTGCAGTGCCCAGATCCAGGCTGTTGAAGGTGTTCCCACACAGTCCTGCTGCAGGGGTGGGTCTGTGTCCCTATGTACCTTTCTCTGGAGCTGGCATGGGTCTGGTGGGGCTCTCAAGGAGGGATGGAGACCTCTCCTACACCTCCGAGTGAGCCGCAGGCCTGCTCACGGGGCTGTGGTGCCAGCAGTGTCTGGCTGAGTGCCTGCAGCCTGACGTGGGATAGTGATGGCACCCGTTTGTCTTCTGTGGAGCTCTAACTGTCGGCTCTTGGAGAACTAAGAGGCTGCAGAGGAAGGGAGAGGGGTTGGCATTCGGGGAGAGCAGGTGGGGTGAGGAGAGGTGAATGCAGGGCTCTCGGAGGACACCCTTGCCTGAAGCCCCTCAAGCCAAGGACAGGTGCTGAGCCCCTGGGCCACCCCTGGTCCCTCAGCCAGGACTCCGTGGGTCCGTAGAGTGTGAAACTGTGTGGTGCCAGGAGCTGTGCCCTGACAAGGACCGTGGGTGCAGGTATCCCTGGCAGCTGCTTTAACTGCCCAGTTATCCCATTATTTAGCTGTGTGAGGGTCTCTCTGGTGTCCGAGGGGCTCCCTGCCCCATCCTGGCTGGCTCGCTGGCCACTGAGGCACAGGCTGGGCACCCTGTGCCTGCCTCCTGAGCCGGGCAGCAGCTCTTGTGTTCTCATGGAATAAATGGCTCTGCAAGTAATATTTGCCCCAACAGGCAGGATAATGCAGAAGGTGATTTGTCAAATGGCTAATTGAGGCAATAATGGGAACCTTGATGGGTGCCTCTAGTTGCGTAGCACATGGCCAGCGGGACCTCGGATCATTTGAGCCAGTTCCTGATGCTGCAGAGCCTGTGTCCAGTGCTGTACTTTTGAGGTTGCTCTTCTACAAAAAGCTTCTCCCTGGGAACTGTCTCTTGCCAAAAACATTTCCATGAAAGCACATGATTAGGTAACTTTGCTTTAAAATGGAATATCTTTTTTCCCTTTAAGTTTTTGTTTAGGCTTCTCTGTCAAGATCATATTGGAATTCTTTTGGATTGGAGACAGATTAAACTCTTCAGTTTTTGTTGGCTCAGCATTGTTTCATTGCCAGATAGCTGAAATTCCCTGTGTATTTGTTTCTAATTCTTTGTACTCCCTGGTCTCTGTATTTGGCCATGGGGGACAGAGAAGCAGGAGCCCA